CATATAATTCAGAATACTCTTTATTTCTTTGTAGTGTTAATTTCTCATTACTCATCCCTAGAACTGCCCAGATTCCTTTTATTCTAAAAGTAGCTAACAGTGAAGTTGCACTTCAGCGTCATACTCCAGAAGAAAATTTGTCTTTGACTCTGATTGTCCCCACCCCTCCTGCTACTATGAAAGGCCACATACAGTATTTCTGATTTTGTCCAACCCCTTTACTAGAACATCCTTACTCACATGCTTGTGAAGTTGCCTGCTATCCTATTGAGTCATTTTCAGTTGGTGCCAGGAAGAAGACTTGCGCATTTATAATCAGAAATCAAGTTCAAACTGAATCTTCCAGCTGTGTTTAAGCCACACAAATGAAAACAAACTGTTCAAAATCCAGGATGACATTATCATGACAGCAGCACAATGCTAACAAGCAGCTATAATAAAGAGGACAATGCCAAGCATCCTTAAATTGCAAAAATTCTCCTGCTGTAGCCAAAGCTTTGCATGACTGACTGAAGAACAGGAGCTGAGGAAAACTAAAAACTGCTCGTAAAGGATCATCTCTTCTAGATGGCAGCTGGAAGGATGGAGGGAATGAGGTCATTAGGGTAAGCCTAATCAAGCAAGCAAATTGAAAAAAACAAAGGCATACTTAGTGCCCTCAGTGCTATAAACAAAAAAAATGAAAAAGGAACCATAGAGGACAGATCTTGTGAAATAGAACTTCTGTACATAACAATGATGCAGTTAGCAAGCATGCTAAATAGAGATGCTGTGCAGACTGCTATTTTACTACAGTTCCCTACTGGTACACTACTGCTGATATTCTCTGGCTCTCTTTCCCATCCCACACAAAAGAATTTAGTGGAAGAGTGACATCAGTTGAAAACGTCAAGTACACCAGAAGACCTATAGAAGATTAAATCACAGTTTCGTAAATAGCAAAGAATAGGGTAATTTCTAAATCTACCTTGTAATCAAGATGCTAAGTCAAAAGCTTAGCTTCTACTCAGCTCGGAATGAAAGGTTTTGCTAGAACTGTGAAAATGTAACTTCAAGCTATATAAAGGAAGAACTACAGACAATCAAAGCTACTTTCCTGATCAGACTTTGAATATTTCTTTCACGTTTCTCAGTGTTTCTGTGAAGCTTGGGGAACTGCTAATAGCAGCAAGTTTAACCACGGCTGACTGTACAAGCACAAAGGAGCTATCAGTGGAAAGGCAAAAGAAAACAGCAAATAGCAGATAATCAGAAAGCAGTCACTCTAAAATTTAGTACAGTCTTAACCAGAGGAAAATGAAATACTCCTACTGCAAATATACATAACCTGGAATGGCCAAAAGCTAGCATAAGAAACCACATACCTGTACTGGTTTTAGAAGAAAATGCCAGAATGTTTACCTTCTACAACCACCTCACTTTTCTACAAGGACTGAGAAAAGACACAGATCTTTGTCTTTTGTACTACTCCTTTGCGTAAGTTTCACCACAGACAGGTAGGTTTTGTTGCTTACAAGTTATTAACAGAAATGCTTTCACTAAAGTTGCTGTGAAACTTATTTGAGAAACTGAATGCTAATGACCTTCAGCAGAACAATCATTAAGTTTATAATCGATACAAATGTTGATGGAGAAACACAGCTGACTTCACTGTCCAAGTATATTTCCTCTCTAGGCAAAAGCCAATTACTGGCTGCTTAACCTCTTTCCTTAAATAAAATGGTAGCAAGACAGGTGCTAAAGGGTAGGTCAAGTTATTTCTTTGCTGCAGTCTTTTTGACGTAGGAGGATGTGGTTTTGCTCCAATTGATTGTACCAGACTGCTCCTTTAGGGTTTCAATAAGAATGAAAACCAGAGCACAGAAAATTTATTCTAGTAATCACCAAAAGGAATCATAAATGTTCCCTACAGAAGGTTGATCCAGTTGCCCAACATTTTCCCTGTACTGTTTAGTGTTCCACTTCTTAAAACTAAACAGCTCCAGATACTCACCCACCTCTTCTTCCAGATTTGAATACCTGCAGCAACACAGCAAATAACATCCAGCTTACTGAGCAAGTGACTAGTGAAAAACTGAGGTTGTTGCAAAAGGACATTTTTTCTTCTCTTCACACACAGAGGAATGGGGAAAAGCACACTTTATATTCCCTACAGGAGTGGGATAGTTCCTCAGTGTCCTCAGCATACCCCTGAAGAGGAAGACAGGACACTTTTGTCACATACTGTGTTGGTGGTCTGGCTGACATACCACAAACAGAGACTACAAAAAGCTTCCTGTTTTTTGTTTAAAGTCTGAAGGACTCAATTTACCTATAGCTTTGCCTGTATAAGGTGATGTTGACCAGTACTGACTTCTCACTGTGACTAGGAATCCATTGAGAACAATTTCTCTCGGCAGCACTGTAAAGGATTAGGGAAGGACACATGGGACCGGTTTCTCCAGAACACCCAGTGTGCAATGACAAGCAGTTTTCCAGGACAGAGAGCTAGATCAAACTTCATTCCTGTGAGAAGAGAAACAAGAACTCAGACTCCTGCTCTCATAGTCAAAATACAGCCCCTAATTTGCAGCATCGGGCCAGATTACCGCACATTGAACATTTTTCAGGGGAACTCGCCACTGAGACAGAATTTACAACACATGACTAGGACATGACTCCATGAACTGTACAGAGTAAGTAGTTTAAATACAGATCCTTCATGTTTCTATAGAGGGTAAGTTACTGGACGTGCTAACAGTATGCTGTTCCTGTGTGTTTGCACTCCGCTGCACTGTTGGCAGTACTGTGTGCAAGAAATAAGGTCCCACTAGCCTGGGAATGTGAAAAACACTCATTAGAGTCTGAGGCTCCTAGTTTGGGCATAAGGGTGGAAAGGTATAGGGCACAGGGCTGAGTTTGTGCTTTCTGACTCACAGCCATATGAAAATCTTGAGTGAAGCTCTTAGAGTCAATAACTGAATGTCCAAGTCTCTGATATAACTAGTCAATTCAGTAGTCCTCACTTACTGGAATCCCCATCTGAACCCTTTCAACACTCAAACTCACAGAGATTTTCTTCACCACAGTTAATTCAATTTCTTGGATTTTGTCTCTGGTTTAGACCATTTATTACAAGTCAGACTCCTTTTCCCAGGTAAGGGATTCTCTCAGTCTATCCCACTGGTCTATTTCAGATGACATGATACAACAAGAAGCTCTAGCTACTAAGCCTCTGGCCAGCACCCCAGTGATTTTACCAGAGGAGAGCACCTGAATCACTCAACTGCTTATTCCTTACTGCCTTCCCAAAGTCCCCTTTACACACATCCAAAAGGCAGAAAAATATACCTCACAGTTTGCTGGAGAGCTAACTTACAGCGTGGTTCAACTCTCTCAGCACTACTACAGCTTCTGCTGACTCTGCTTCTTACTATGAGACCTCTTGAGAACAGGGCACAAAGGCTGCTGGGAAACAGTGTGTGAACTACTATTCCCTTCTTCAGACTCACCTCCAGGGAGAGGATTAAAGACAATACAGATGGAAGACTTGGGTCTTGAAACGGAACTGTGGGATTAACTCCAGTGTTTTTCCTGTGATGAGGACCTGCAGCACATGAGTAGGTTCCACAAGCGCTATAGCAAAGGGTGGTTTTCGGCAGAGATTCTCAGCCTGGGATGGGCTGCTGCTTGGGATCATGGCAGGTGGTAAGAGCTGAGAAGCATACAGAAATGGCCACAGTTGCCGTCATTCAAATTAAAAGTGTAGTGCAGACCTGACAATTAAAGTGCAGGCACTATTCACACTAGGTAAATACAGCAGGGACGAAGTGGAACACAGGAGTATTTGATTTTTGTATGAAGCTTTTGTTTAAAAAAATGTAAACGTGTCATTGCTGATAGGAGTATTGTATAGCTCCCACTCCTGTGATACAGCTGAAATATCTGCTGATGACACGTAGTAGCTCTAAACTGTTAAAGCATGGAGCAGATCTGCACTAAACCGCATTTTCTCCCCAAAGACTGCAGCTTATTGAATAACAAAGATTTGTTAGTTGAAGTCCCCTGCAATCAACCCTTGCATAAAACATGCATCCCCAATGCCAGCTGTTGTTAACATGTTAATGAGAAAATTGATTTCTCAGATGTGAAATCATCAGGTGTTACATTTCCTCATTTACCCTCTTCTACCAGCATAAAAATCACCACATATGAAAATAATGTTTGCTCAAAATAATAATAGTACGAAGTGTAGAATAAATGCAAATAAGTAAAAAAGAACTAAAAAAAGTAATTTTTGCAAAGATACAATGAAAACAAACCATTAGCATTTTACACATATTTAGGGACATCCGTGTTTAGGGCTGCATAGTGTTTCAACAAAAAACAGTGTCTGATGAACATGCAAATGACTTTACAGGCATGTAAGAAAAAGTCACATTATAATTTTATAAATGTTTCTTGATGTCGGTCATGGTTTAAGCTGGGCTTAAACCACAGAAATGTCAATTACATGTTACAGATTGAAAAGTGAAATTAGCAGCAGGATGTATTTATCTATCTGAAAGGAGTCACTATTCCAAACCTGTAGTTAATGGAATGGTTAAAAAGAAAGTGTGTACTAAATAATAGAGAGCAGCAAAAAAGCAGATCTGAATTCCTCTGGAATTCAGGAAACAGCTTTAATCAAAAGCAGCCTCAGCCCTGGGATGTTCAACTAATTAGCCCTGCAAGGAAAGGGCAAAAAGAGTATTTTAAAACTTAAAGGCAATATAAAACAAATTTCTCAACATAAACAAGATGAGAATTCATTTTCCCTGTGGTGCTCTCCACAGCTCCTGAAAGTGCCTGCTGCTGTCAATGAATGAAATAAAAGGGGAGGAGGGAGAACAAAGAGGTGCTATCTTACCAGCCGATGAAGCTTATTGCTCCACTCCCTTCATGACGCTGGGTACTCACAAGCCTATAAAATGTGCCTTGGCTCCCAGTCAGCTTCTCTTTCAGCAAAATCAAAAGCAAGAGGTGGCTGTAGAGAGGAGCAATAGGATGCTGCTCTACCCAGAGGCAGCTCTCCAGTCTCAGCTGGTATAACAGTTGAACAGAGTAGCCAAAGCTTTTCTGGCAGGTTTCTCATTCCCACTGTCTGCTGTGCTGCCTCACTCCTTTTTTTCTTTCTTTCCTCTTCTTACTTGTTTGTGGTGATTTTGGTGGGCTGGGAGAGGCACATCATTTCTGGAACTGAGGAGAGGAACATCCAAGATGACTTCTATCCCCACAGCCAACGGGAACATGAGCATGAGCAGCAGGTGGAACATTAGCCTTGCTGCAGTGGGTGATCCCTGGGGACAGGAACTGGGAGCATCAGCTGGAAACTCTTCTCACCCTGTAGCATCCTCAGCAGCCAACTTCTCCAACCAATTTGTGCAACCCTTTTGGCGCATTGCCCTGTGGTCTCTGGCTTATGGTGGTGTGGTGGCAGTGGCTGTTTTTGGAAATCTCATTGTCATCTGGATTATCCTGGCTCACAAGCGCATGAGGACAGTGACCAATTACTTCCTGGTGAACCTGGCCTTCTCCGATGCCTCCATGGCTGCTTTTAATACTCTCATCAATTTCATCTACGCGCTGCACAGTGAATGGTACTTTGGAGAGGCTTACTGCCGCTTCCACAACTTCTTCCCAATTACAGCTGTCTTCGCCAGCATCTACTCCATGACAGCAATAGCTGTGGACAGGTGAGAAAAGAAAGGAAAAGTTTTGGGGTGAAATGCCAAGTTCAAATTCTCTGCTGAAATAAAAATACAGAGGAAACAATCATAAAGTAACAAGAGGCAGAGCTCTCAATAGATCACTGATTGTGCTCCTCTGTACTTCTGTAAGTTCTCTCCCTAACACACAGTTTTTCTCCCTGTCTTTGGTCTTTCTCTTTTAGACTTTCATTGTTTTCACTCTCACATTTTCTTTTACATTTCCTCTCCGTTTGACTTCAGTGGCTCTTTGTGCTCCATCTTCTAATACTAATTCAGTAACAGCAGCCACTGCTCAGGGTTTTGCTTCCCCACCTGTGAAAACAGTATCTGTCCCTCAGTCAATGTCATCTAATTCATACTGATAAGTAGTTGTAGAGATTGTGTGTGGAGGGAGAGGATTTCAAACTTACTTCCTATCTGTATTTCTGCAGCTGGCAGAGGCATTTGCCTCCTCCTCAGAAATCACTTCAGACTCTGTTTTTAATAGTTGCTCCCACAGACAGCTCTGAGTTACTTGGTTCCTCCTGATTTTAACTAATGAGACTATTTACATTGTCATCTGTACATATCCAGAGGTCTGGTAAGAACATGGTTTCAAAGTGCTTGATATTTTTCTGATTACTTCCAGCAAAGGAAGCCTCTGTGACTGTGAAAAAAAAAACAGAACAGGAAAAAAAAATTACCTTTGTGCTCTTGACAATAATAGAATAGGACAACTATTGTCTGATTTTGAACAGAGGTGCTTTGATGGACCACATTTCTCAGAAGGTGATGTGAGTCTTCCCTGGGAAATGTTCCTTTCTTTACGATAATTTTCACATTTGCTGTACTGGAGAGGTGACTTACCCCATGCTTTAGATCTCCAATGAGTTCCTGAATTTTCATTCAGAAATCCAGACCATGTTGTACTTCAGATCTTTTATATTCCTTTTAGCAACACACTCTAATCACTCATAAAACTCTTTTCTACATATCCAAATCCCATTATGCATCTTGCCTGAACTGACCTGGCAGAACTGCAGCACTTTCTGCATTTGGTAGTTAAGATTAATGGTGATGTTAGGTTAAGATTTGGTGATGGTAGTTAAGATTTTTATGAGGTTCAATCCACCTTCTCACTTCCAGGGGCAAAGATTGGGAAACATGTTATTGTACCTCTTCTCTATGCTGTGGACAAGCTCATAATAATGGTTTTGTGTTGGTCCTTCAGAAAGATAAAAGGTTTTTAACTGATGTTGAGGATTTAACTGTTATTGCTGCAGCTGATCACATCACTATCTGAGCAGTTACCTGGATGCTCTGAGTAAGGTTTTTTCATTGTTCTGGCAAAAACCTCCAGAGAGATGTAGTACTTACCACTTGAAAGTTCATAAATTTATGCTAGGAAACTGGAAACAAAGATAAATACAGTTCCCTGGGAATCCAAAGGGTGCATTTCCAGAGTAAAGTAAAGAACAGCTCTGTTCCACACTGACTGAAGTGCAATGGTCATATACAAATACATTAGAAATGTTTTCCTTGGTTTAGCAATGTGACACAGTGATGCTCAGAAGTGAATCTATTACTGCTGTTGCTCACTTTGATCTATTTCTTGTCTGACAATCCCCTGAAAAAATCACGATTTCCACCCCTCCACATCTTCCAAGCTCACCTGCCCCCAGAGGCATATCAAAATCTTCCCTTGGGAAAGCACAGTGAGCAATGCCACAGCTGTGCTCAGGAGAGCTCTCTGTTGTACCAAGGAGCATCTTGTAAAACAAAGAGCAATCTAGCCCTCCTTCCCTATTCAAATTGTTATTCCTTTTCTTTTTATACCAAATCACACCTGATTCATTCAGCATCTTTAACCATTTCCTGCCTACTACTGCAGAACAATTCTGCAGGTTCAAGAGGAAAACTGCAGGTCAAAGTGAATCCCAAGGAATGTCCTTACATGTACAGTCTGCTGTATTCTAAGGCACACATCTACTGAGTGGATGTTTTTTAAACTTTGGTTCCCATTTCTGTGAAACTTCAGCCAGTGCTTCAGACAGGTACCTGTGCTTTAGTTTTGACCCAGTAAACCCATTCTTAAACATTCATGTTCACCTAGAATTAAACAAAAAAAAAAAAAAAACACAAATTAGGAAAAAAATTACTGAAGGAACAAAAATGATGGGGTTGTATGAGATGATTCAGTAGTGGAAATTGTTAACATCCCAAAACTGAAAACTCACGGGTTGCAACTCAAACTCACTAAAAAGTATGCTGTGATATGCTCCATTGATCATTTTAGAACATCCAGACATTCACAGAGTATGAATGAGTCACTGTGATTCTAGACATCACTGAGCAGAGGTCAAGGCGGTATGTTTCCTTTCACATCATGTAGGCCAAATTGTGTGCACTGGGCTGACACCGATTTCCATGGAGTAGGTGGTTCCTGCAGTGGAGTGTGCTCATCTGGAGATGAGGATGAATGTATTCAATACTGCTGTATGACCACCTGGTCATTGAACATAGACTCAAATTTACGTGGATTTATTCACAGTTCTGAAAACCCCTTCCTGGTGGTCTTTCTCTTTCTTTCCCAACAGGCTGTTAGCAGTCTACTGCAGAGATGCCACAGGTAGCTTTAACCAAACTAGCCCAAGTATCAAGCTGCACAGATTTTACACTACTGCTTCAAAGGCATTCATTCATTCATTCTATCTTCTGTAGCTCATGCTGCACAGTATTACAGTTACACTGCTTCCAGTGCAATAGTTCTTTTAGCTACTCCATGGAGATAAGCTTTTAAAACAGCCTAAGATAAACTGAATGAGGGATAGTTCTGGAGCCATTATGCCCTTGCCACTGGCAATTATCCAAAAGGGTCATATGTCTTACCTCTGTCTGTGACTACTCGCTGTGGTACAGTTCTTGGACATATTAAAGGCAGTAACTTAGGCAGAATTTATGCCATCTGGCCCTGGCTATTGAAGACCCCCTGTCCCTTCCTAACAGTTCTTAACATGCAAAAGAAATAGTTCATGTATACTGGCACTTAATTTCCAATCCCAAGATTGCCTCATTATACAACCAGCTCTGTGTGTAGACATAGAAATTCTCTGCAAATGTCTGATGGTAAAAGTTCAGAGATGTAGGAATATAGCATAAAATAAGATGCCTTCAGTGGGGTACTTAGTGCCTTTTTATGCATTTTTTTCCTGATTTTTAACACAGTGTGACTTTTCCAGTTATTGTTCTATCAGCAATTCCATAAAGATTTCCTCACTTCAACAAGTTAACTCTTTGTAAAAGCAACTGCTCTGGAATTATACAAGGTATTCCAACAGTGACAGTGAGTAGCTGCTGATCCTATTTAAATCTTACCACTTATTTTCTTCTTAGTATGCAAGCAAACTTTTAGTCTTTGAAGAGGCATTGAATATATATATTGCCTTTATTTATATGCCAAAGTTATTGAAAAGACACACATATGCCAATATTTCATACAAATGTAAATAATATTACATTTATGATACACTAATATTCTGCATTACTGCAAAACAGCCTATACGGATTACTGCTGTTCAGTATGGATCAATATAATAACATCAAAAAACACGTAAAATCTTTTTTTAACAAATTATTATGAAAGAAAGAGTCAAATGATGGATTTAACATAATTCTTTCCAAAGTTCAGATTCCGCCAGTTGCTACCCACCTTAGTCTTATACTTTGCAAAATTCACAGCCCATTTTTCAGTTCAGCTACTTGCAGAGTCAGAGTTATTGCACTAGAATGATAAAATAAAGCCCAATATTAAGAACTAAGAGAATTCCACTTTCATGCACTTTTTTTTAATCACAGAACTTTCCTCACATGTTGTGTTGATGTAAACTCTGGAGTTGTTACAGTTTTCTGCCATTAATACTGAAAGTTCAATAATTAACTTCAAATCAGGAGGTTATCAAAGTAAATCATGATTTTTAAAACTTAAAACTTAATCATGTCCCAAAGTCCAATTATGATTTCAATAATAACTTAATCTTTTTCCCCATTTTCTGGTCCTTCTGATAGACTGAATTTTTTTTGACCTACAGGCAGATACAGAACTTTATTCTGTATTTGTCTAGTCCAATAGAGCTGTTATGAAACTTTTTATTTGTATTTATTCCACAGAACTGTGTCTGCAAGTCTGTTTTTAAAAGCTATTCAAATTAGAGCTAAAAGACAGATACATAAGCACTCTTACCTTTGGTATCCTAGTCAGCTCACTTAAGTATGGCTACACAGAATCACTACACAGAATCACACTCCTGATATGGATAACATGTTGATATCAGGATGGATGTTTTTAAAAATTTGATTGAAAAATTGAATAATCAAACAATTTGCAGCACAATGAGATTCAGAATCCAACAGCCATGGGCCCAGCTTTCTCCTTCCCAACACCCCTACACTCACTTTGCTGAACACCAGACTCAAAATCAAATTAACCTTCACTAATGAAAGATTATATCATTAGAGAATATCCATGTTTCAGAATATGATTGATTCTTGTAATTAGCAGGCTCTGTTTCCTTTTGGTTGCCCTTCTCATTTCTTTTTAATAACCTTCCTCATGCTTTTATAGTTTCCCATTTTTAAATGAAACACTATCACAGCACCTTTTGGAGGGTTTTATTGTTTCTGCAGAGATGCTAAAAGCAGCCATAATCAAGAGAATATTCAAAGAATAATAACATTTAAGCCTGACTGTAGCCACTCTTAAGGACCAACTCAAAAGCTCCTTGTTTACTTTATGCTTCCTCTTACAGATGTTCCGTAAAGCAGTCACTAATGTTGATGAATATGTTTTATGTCTGCACAGAAGTCACTGGTATCTTCTATTATTATTGTATTGCCTGCTATCAGAGCCTTTCTAATTTCTTTCAGCATGTCATCATTATTACCATGAATTAGCTGAGTGTGTAATCGTGAAGTTGATTTTTTCAGTCAAGCATGGAGTTTCAAACCAT